AAAGCTTTGACGTGGGTATTCAACGAAACTAATCGTACGAGCAACGCTAAGCTGGCTAGGTGGGCCATGGAGTTGTCTCAATTACGTTTCAAGGTGTTCCACAAGCCTGGTACTTCGATGGGTCATGTGGATGGTCTGTCCAGGCTGCATACCCAAACCATCAATGCTATCTCTATGGCGGAGCTACTCAACGATGCTGACGAGTCCCCTCCTAGTACTGTCGAAGTCGGGGAGACTACGACTCTCGACTCGACTCTGCTCCCTTCAGGGCCCTTGCCCGAGGACGCTGGCGAAACTGGACCCGAGACGTTCCCCGACGAAGAAGAGGTTACCGACCAACTCCTACTGTCCCCCGTTGATGTGTTCGGGCTGCAACAAACTCGCTTCGTGGAAGAACAGAAGAGGACACCCTGGATCCAAGCTATGATAGCGTTCCTTAGCGATGGAGCTCTAGCTCTGGACCCTCAAATGCGCACCAAAATCCTGCTGATGGCCCCTAACTACTCGGTAAAGAACGGAGTACTCATGCGTCGCGTACACCTGAAGGCTCGCGCTGGACCTGCGTCTACTCTTGAAGTTCCTGTGATCCCCCTGCCTTTCATATCCACGGTACTACATCACTGTCATAAGGATGTACTTGCCGCTCATGTCGGAGTTACTAAGACGCTCGACTAGGTGCGCAAGCACGCTTACTGGCACGGCTGGACGAAGGATGTGGCCGAATATGTTCGGGATGCACCGTTTGCGACAGTGGTAAAGGCTATCGCCCTTGGAGAAATGGCCGAATGCAGCGGATGCCCGTACAAGAACTATCCGGACCTTTCTCGCTATTGGTGGTGGACGCCATAGGTCCCTTAGTGGCTACTCCTCGAGGCAACAAGTTCATACTCGTCTTCGCCGACTATTTTACTCGATGGGTCGAAGCGTTCCCTGTGGCCCGCTTGGACACTGTAACGTTCGTAGAAGTTATGGTGAACGAAGTGATCTCGCGGCACGGAGTCCCCGAGAAACTACTGAGCGACCAAGGATCCAACTTCATCTCAAACTTGGCACGATCCTTCTACGAAACACTCGGGATCAAGAAGTTGTTTGGGAGCTGCTTACCACCCCCAGACTCAGGGGCTAGTCGAACGCTTCAACGGCACGCTGATCGGGATGCTTAATATGTATGTCAACGAAGCTCAAAACGACTGGGACTTATATCTTCCCCGAGTACTGTTCGCATACCGTTCGTCTTATCACGAGGCCCTTAAGGACTCACCGTTCTTCAGCCTGTATGGCCGGGACCCGGTGTTACCTCTGGACCTCGCGTTTCTCAGCACGAATAACGGATGGAAGAGTAACGAAGTCGCTAGCTACAGACGAAAGCTATTCTTATCTCTACGGGATACGAGACGATTAGTAGAGCGCCAACGCTTGAAGGCCCAGGGCAGACACGAGCAACGAATGAGCAACCAAGTACCGATTAAGTTCAAGGAGGGAGACCCGGTGTGGGTCTACCAGTACTTCCGAGCTCGTCTCGGGGAAAAGACCACGAAGAAGCTCGCTTTCGCGTGGCATGGTCCGTACCGTGTGGTCGGGATCGTGGGAGAGAACTCCTATCGAGTAGCCATCCCTTCTCACCCCAATCGGGTCGTGACCATTAACGTCAATAGGTTGAAACGTTTCCAAGGGCGATGGAGTCAGCCGTTCCCTTTTGAAGTACCCGAGGGAGTCCAGTCGAGTCCGGGTGTAGACGACGACGGACCTCTATCAGAAGAGGACCTCCCCTCTACTAGCTTCGTAGAGAGACTCCTGATTGGAGGGGAAGAGACGGCCCTGACCGGAGTTCCTTGCTCTGTGATCGACATAATCGCCCGACGCAAAAAGAACCGTGAAGAGCACTTCCTGGTGTTGTTAGCTACCTACGAGACTCTTTGGAGACCACGAAACACACTATTGCCCACCTACGCTGCTCTGATCAAGGCGTTCGAAGAAACCCGTCGTCGGGAGGGAGACCTACCAGAACTACGTCGCAGCGCGCGGTTGGAAGACGCTAACGCCGCCGTTGACGAAGAAGAGCTACTCTTCTAGGGAGGGGGAATCGTGGCGGGTCGATCCAATGTGCCAGAGTAAACTCACGACCCCGCCTCCCTCGAAAGTGTCCTGAAGAACACTTCTTACGACTTTGTATATTTTTGGATTCTACTTCACAAGTGGCTGATCTCCTACATACCAAAAAGAAAAACAATCTTACCGCGATCTCAAGAAAAAAAGAACGAAAACAACAAGTGGGGACGAATCGTGGTGAAAAACAAAAAGAAACTTAAAAAGGAAGACGATGCCAGTACTCTTACTCTCATCCAGTGAGGAACGGTTCTGGGAATGGTACGAATCAATAACTCTTGTCGTGGTGGTCGCTGGTGTGGTATCTCACGCCTGTCGTCAATACGACGAGGGGAGCTCTCTCCGATCTGTCTCCTCTAAGGTACTGGTCGAACTAGCATTGACGAGTACCCGCCGCAACGCTTCTCGACGTAGTATGGCCGAGGCTCGGAACATCGAACGTCTTCGGGTCGACGACGATGTCGAGGTGCTATATGACTTTTAAGCCGCCGACCCTAACTACGTTGAGGACCGCTCCGAGGACTACCACGAAGCGTTCCAACCTCCCCTGTCTGAAGAAGTTGCTAACGACGGAGTCTATAGTACTAACGTGAGAGATGTACGCAGAGGTCCGTTCGCCGAGGACGACGAACGACAAGTCGGGGAGGATGTCCCGTACCCGGGAACGGAGGGGTCATTCCGGGAGCTCTGCCTCCCGTCGGGATGACCCGAGACCCTGGAATCACTCCTCGCCCCGCCGTCCCGTCAGGGTGGTTCCCGTTGAACTCAACCTCGCACGTACCCTTGACCGAGCCCGTTAGGGTGGTCCTATAAGAGACCCCTGAACGCCGGAGTCTTGGCGTCGGGGACCAAAAGCACCTCGCGACATCAAGCCCTTTCCCAGAGGCTCTCCCGTTGTCCCACGAAGGCCGACAACAAACGAAGTGAATCCTTCCTTTTTTTATATGTAGTGTAGTGTATGTAAGGTCGAGAAGGTGTTAGGCCTCTCTTCCGGTTAGCTCTCAGTCTTATATTTCCCTCCTTCTACTCAAGAGGAAGCCAAGCCAATCAACAAACTTTTATTTTTCAACTCTCTAGTGTTCCTATCTTCCGTTCCTGCAGCCACTGAACAAGACCGTACTCCCTGAACAGCCGCGGACTACCCGACCCTTGAAGGAAGAGGAGGTATACGACACGACACAGTACCTTCCCAATTCGGTCGCTTAAACATCGCGAAGAGCCGGTTGATGCAAAGCTGTGAGCGGTGCCCTTCTGAAGAGAGAGTGGCAGCACTTGATGTGGATTCCACGGCTCGGCAAAGTCTGTTCTTGATGTCGGTGGTCGTATAGTCAAACATGTAGCGACATGATCCACCCGCATAGTGATACTTCAACTCTACCATTTCGGCAGGAGACCTTGGTCCATATACGCCGCCGTGTAAGCAAGTAACGGACACCCCAGGCCCGTTACAGTTTGTCTTCTATCAAGGTGCCGTCATAGAAAGAACTCTGGATTCCAGAGTCACAAACCTCCAGCATCAGGAGCCATTTGTCAATTTAAGTAAATTTAGAGGCTGCTGGCCCACATTGCTAGCTCTAACTAAGCTAACGTAGCTTATTTTACAGATAGTTCATTCTCGCCAAAAATCAGCTAACTGGACCCGAGCTAACAAGGTGTCGTGGGATTATTTAAGCCTATCAATAGAGATTGAGGTTGCTCTCGAATTAATCAGCATAGTAGAAATGTATAAAAGCAGCAAATCTATTATAGTGACCACAGTGCTGACTTATTTGGTAGTGAGGGTGTCACGAGCGAAAAACGCGAGGTGGCTCGTTTCACGGTTAGCGCCTTGAGTATTACACTTTAAACTTTGAGCATACCCCGTAGCACTGCGACGAGCGGTGCGAAAGCACCCGTCAAGGTTACTGCCGGAAAGGCGCAAACCAAGAGTAATAAGCCTCGCGACAAAGGCCCTGCACTCCAGGAGGAGCCACCACCCACCCGAGAGAATATATTGGTCTCTCGAGGAGAGATCTGGTGCGGACATCCTACTGGAGACACGCATTGCTCGTCGTGGGCTGCCACATGTCGAAGGGCGTAGATGAACGTGCCCTGCTTCGTAAGAAGAAGCTGTTTGGTGACAGCGTGGGGGCGGCCCGGTGCGTGCCTCTCGCTCAGCATGGAATCCTTCTCAAGGATTTCACGACTGGTCGTAAGAAGTCCGAGAGCCGGGGTGATCTCTACCCTCTCTGGGGCTATCCCTCGGTTCCTTTCGAGAGCTGTCCCAACTGGAGCTCATGTGAGGGCATGTTCTGGGCATGGGTGGAGTCTCTCAAGTACTCAAATTCGGAGTTGCGGGAATTCCATGAAGATCCACTGCTGTCCCGCATCTCGGACCGGCGTGACCTTTGTGTCCGGTTTGCCCACTTGGTCAGCAAGCTCATGCAGCCAGGGTTCTTCTGAAGCGCGCAGCTTCTAGCGCTCACGATGAGCGCGGGTACGGAGTGTCGTCAACGTCCGTATCCCGTTCGGGCAAGAAGCCCCGGACTACTTACGAAGCTGCCGCCGCTTCTGTTCCGAGATTGAACAGCCTTCGAGTAGTCTATCAGGAGCCGTTTAATCGGTTTCCACGAGGTTTGGAGCGGGCATAACCTCTCCAGCTCACGAGGTGATGGCACTTCCCGCGAAGTCGCCGCTCCTGGCGAACCCGCTCCACGTTGTAGTCAGCTTCTCCATTCCGGTTAAGCAGGGTGGAGCATCCAACTTACTCGCCACGCACATAAAAAAATCTCGTTTCTTAACTGCATCAAGGTACTCAGCCAATGTCCACGACCAGACATCAAATTCCATTGCACGCATCCGGATATCCGTTCCCTCTTGAACTTTACCACGAGAGGCTACCGAGCATACAAATGCCAGCCGTCGTTTGACAAGATCTCTCGTCAACCATCGGTGACACTTGACTGTTAGCTCCCTGAAGAAGTCTGCAGCTGTCCAGCCATCAACAAGCAGTAGATGCTTCTTAGTGTCATCGACCAGCAAAACTTCGTCTACGTCTGCAATATCAATGGCTCGAGTCTTTCTTTCTTCGCCAGCAAGACGCACGCAGTTCAGATCCATGTCCTTAGCCACGTGAATCCAAGTAACTATCCATTCACTTCTGTCCACAGTCGACGCGAATGCCATTGCAGTAGTTGACTTTCCCGTTCCAGGAGGGCCAAGGATCCAGCCCAAATGACCTTCGCTCGATACCTGATCGCGTAAGAACTCGAATTGGCGGTGGAATGTGGGCCTGCAGTAGAGCATCATGCGAGAGGGTAGGAGTCCGGACTCGTCCACATCTTCTTTCTCCAGCACAAAGTACTGTGAGTTCGGGTCGTAAACGTGTGATCCCCACCGAGTCGACCGCCACTCCAGACGCTGCTTCTTGTTGGCTGCTTCCGGAAGTTTCACCAGAACGTGGATTTCACCGTCTTCACCGGTGTCTTCGTTAGGGAAACCAAACGCCGTGCTGCGGACACGATAGCAAGAATCCATATTGTTCTCCTTCTTCTTCATAATATTAATGATTCCAGTGGGGATCTCACCAGTCTCCAACATCGCCACGTCAGGATCGTCCGTCTTGAGCCAGCTGTCACCCTTCTTCGCGACGTATAGCAGTAGTTGGTCCGCAGGAAGTTTGTACATTTTCTCCTCCTTGATCATCTTCTTCAAGATTCCGACCTTCTTACACTCATCAATTTCCACCACGAAGACGCTCCCGTCTCCGACCACCACGCATCCCAACGACTTCATTGCTTTTGGAAAGGGAAAAACTCTCTGGGTTTATTTAAATCCAGAGTACTATTTAGTTAAAAATATCAGTATCAGCTCTAGATATCAGAATATTTAAGTTTTAACCGCATCAACTTGGTCTTGATAAAAATATTAATTACCATTTTCATAAAGGTATAGTTAATGTTTCAAAATAGTTTCCTGCTTAGGTGCGAATAAATAGCAAATTTGCGGCCGAAGCACACCGCGTTCACGCAGCCAAGTCGATGGCTTTCGTCTTTGAGAATAAGGGTTTGTGACGTACTCTTCCTTATTCTGATTGGCCGGTAAACCGAACCCAAGTGGGGAGGATGTAACGGCATACGGACCAAGTGTGCCCCAGGTCCCACGAAGTATGACTTGTCACTCTTTGGGATACCTGGTACGTGATACCAGGGACCAACGACAAAGCTTCAAAATAGGTGACGCATAGTTTGTACGTTGGGCTCAAGCTTAGCCTACCTATAAATACTTTCGGTTTGCAGCTTATCTTTAGCTGGTTACTTCGCTCCCTTTGGCAAAGGACCTGTCAGCTGCTGTTCACTGAGGGCTTGTCTAATGGGCTATCCCAAGGTGCCGATCTAGGTAGATTTATAGAACCCTTGTACCGGCTCAAGCCACCGATCTAGTTCGCGTGGTCCTATAAGGGGACCCTCTTGAACACCGGAGTCTTGGCGTCGGGGACCAAAAGCACCTCGCGATCATTCAAGCCCTTTCCCAGAGGCATCTCCGTTGGTCCCACGAAGGCCGACAACAAACGAAGTGAACTCCTTCCTTTTTATATATGTAGTGTAGTGTATGTAAGGTCGAGAGAGGTGTTAGGCCTCTCTTCCTGGTTAGCTCTCAGTCTTATACTCTTCCCTCCGTTCTACTCAAGAGGAAGCCAAGCCAATACAATGCAAACTTTTATTTATTCAACTCTCTAGTGTTTCCAATCTACTTCTTCCTGCAGCCACTGAACAAGAACTGGAAGACTCCCTCGAACGTAAGCTCGACGAGATTAGCCCACCCTTGAAGGAAGAGCGCAAGAATATGTGACACGACACAGTACTTCATGTCCCAAATTCGGTCGATTACAACATCGCGAAGAGCCGGTTGATGCAAAGCTGTGAGCGGTGCCCTTCTGAAGAGAGAGTGGCAGCACTTGATGTGGATTCCACGGCTCGGCAAAGTCTGTTCTTGATGTCGGTGGTCGTATAGTCAAACATGTAGCGACATGATCCACCCGCATAGTGATACTTCAACTCTACCATTTCGGCAGGAGACCTTGGTCCATATACGCCGCCGTGTAAGCAAGTAACGGACACCCCAGGCCCGTTACAGTTTGTCTTCTATCAAGGTGCCGTCATAGAAAGAACTCTGGATTCCAGAGTCACAAACCTCCAGCATCAGGAGCCATTTGTCAATTTAAGTAAATTTAGAGGCTGCTGGCCCACATTGCTAGCTCTACCTAAGCTAACGTAGCTTATTTTACAGATAGTTCATTCTCGCCAAAAAGCAGCTAACTGGACCCGAGCTAACAAGGTGTCGTGGGATTATTTAAGCCTATCAATAGAGATTGAGGTTGCTCTCGAATTAATCAGCATAGTAGAAATGTATAAAAGCAGCAAATCTATTATAGTGACCACAGTGCTGACTTATTTGGTAGTGAGGGTGTCACGAGCGAAAAACGCGAGGTGGCTCGTTTCACGGTTAGCGCCTTGAGTATTACACTTTAAACTTTGAGCATACCCCGTAGCACTGCGACGAGCGGTGCGAAAGCACCCGTCAAGGTTACTGCCGGAAAGGCGCAAACCAAGAGTAATAAGCCTCGCGACAAAGGCCCTGCACTCCAGGAGGAGCCACCACCCACCCGAGAGAATATATTGGTCTCTCGAGGAGAGATCTGGGGCAGACATCTTACTGGAGACACGCATTGCTCGTCGTGGGCTTATCGGTGGCCACATGTCGAAGGGCGTAGATGAACGTGCCCTGCTTCGTAAGAAGTCGCTGTTGGTGACAACGTGGGGGCGGCCCGGTGCGTGCTTCTCGCTCAGCATGGAATCATTCTTAAGGATTTATCGACTTTTCGTAAGAAGTCCGAGAACCGGGGTGATCTCTACCCTCTCTGGGGCTATCCCTCGGTTCCTTTCGAGAGCTGTCCCAACTGGAGCTCATGTGAGGGCATGTTCTGGGCATGGGTGGAGTCTCTCAAGTACTCAAATTCGGAGTTGCGGGAATTCCATGAAAATCCACTGCTGTCCCGCATCTCGGACCGGCGTGACCTTTGTGTCCGGTTTGCCCACTTGGTCAGCAAGCTCATGCAGCCAGGGTTCTTCTGAAGCGCGCAGCTTCTAGCGCTCACGATGAGCGCGGGTACGGAGTGTCGTCAACGTCCGTATTCCGTTCGGGCAAGAAGCCCCGGACTACTTACGAAGCTGCCGCCGCTTCTGTTCCGAGATTGAACAGCCTTCGAGTAGTCTATCAGGAGCCATTTAATCGGTTTCCACGAGGTTTTGGAGCGAGCATAACCTCTCCAGTTCACGAGGAGATGGCACTTCCCGCGAAGTCGCCGCTCCTGGCGAACCCGCTCCACGTTGCAGTCAGCTTCTTCATTCCGGTTAAGCAGGGGCGGAGGTGCCCTCATATGATCTAGAGTACGAGGCTCCTCCGAGGCGCTTCTATCGCCCGAGTGCTCCCCCTGCGGGTCCGACGTAGTGTCCTTACGTTGATCGCGTCTGTCTACGCGTTCCCGTGCTTGGAATTGCACTTAGTCTTGGGGCTGGCGGTGGTGCTGCCACCCAGACCGGGAATCAGGGCGTCTTCGCTCGACTTGTGGACAGCCTGGACCAGTTGGAACGGGATGTCTCAGGTGTAACGGGGTTACACGCAAGTGGCTACATGTAGCCCCTTGGTTACGAAGGAGGTAACGAAGGAGGTTTTCCACGTTAGTGTGCGATACACCAATGGTTACATTTGGCAGACTATTGGACTGCATGCATTTAGGGGATTCATCGGTTAAAAGTCAATATCTTTAACAAATTAGAATAGTAAGATTCTGTCAGCCATTGGTTGATACATACCGTTATTTAGAGTATTATATTAGGCGGGAAACCAAAACAGACAAATAAACAGCTCTCCCGCAACCCCATAGCCCTCGCGTAATGCAAGGGCAAATGCCTCTTCGAGTGTAGAGGGGTCCGATCTTGTAAGGCAGTAGCGCTTCATGCCTTCGCGCATACCGAACACAAACACATGAACCTGAGAGGCCATATCGATGGGCTTGGACACGATACACGACGTGAGGTGTCGTTTCTTCTGGACGTAGTCGCACACAGTCATCGTGCCTTGCCGAACGGCGAAGATGTCTGCCCGAATTCAAGATTCATCTTGCGGCGGCTCGTACGCGAGCCGAAGGTCACTCTAGAGGATATCCAGAGTGGGAAAGGCGTTGAGGTCGACGGCCAACTTGCCGGGGGACCATTCCTTGGATTTCCCAGACAGCCGAGAGAGGATAAAGTGAACCTTCGCGGAAGGCGCCTCGATCAACCTCGAGGCGATGGCGATGTCGATCTTTCGAAACCAACGATTCAGTGGAAGTCGGTCTTCTCCGGCACCGGAGTAGGTGGACGTCTCTAGCTTCACGACGTCATTCGTGAAGATACGCGAGGGAGTTGACACTCGCCGATTCGCATCGGCGAGCTCGCGCTCCATGAATTCTTGTGCCGCGACGCGCTGCTCGTCGGGCGTCGCTGAGCGCAGCAGCGTGGACGACGGCTTCTCCGGGCACCGCCGCGAGGCAGTGAAGAGCTTTTCACTCGATCCGAGTGAGATGGGGGAAATAGCGTGGTGAGGTCTTGGCTCATGTCGAACTTGGTCATTGGAAGGACTACAAAGTGCTACCAGGTGTAAAGGGTCATGTATTTACTTCGTTACTTGCTTACACTATAGTGTTGAGGAAGCTCACAATAGGACGGCTGAGTCTTAGATTTAAGGAAAACTCAACTCTGACTTTTTAGGACCAAGGCCACAGCCTTGGCCACTCTAATACACGTCATAGTCCAATTGGCTAATAATGGGTCTGGCTCACCATATATCAGCCAATGGCATGACAGCATTTCACCTACTTATGAAAGGAAATATACCTACTTATGTAATGGAGGGGCCAATTACACGAGCTCTAGCGGCGAGGTGACCATTGGTACTGGCGAAGCGGACACCGGTGCGTCGGTTGTGAGCAGGGGTCAATCAAAATCGGTGAAGATAAAATAGTAATAATATCACCTGGTAGACCACTTAATATAAAAATATCACCTTGTATTTTTTTCTTTGATAAAAAAACTATTAAACCAATTTTGGAGTTACCATAACCCCTGATGGTAGCTCCAAAATAGGTGAAGTTAATAAAGGGATAATATCATTTGGTAAACCAGTTAATATAAAAATATTACCAAATATTTTCTTCTTAAACAATATAATATTCTAATATTTCAACTAAATATTAGCTACACTGTCTACGGTAATTAGTCTGACCGAGACTATTTTGTGTGTATGGTTTCTCAGGTCATACACATTAAATAGTCTGACACAGACTATTTAAGTGCTAAGACTATTTATGAATTTCGACCGGTCACAAAAAATACACAAAACGTGAGACTCGAACCGTCAAACCTCAGCGTGGAGGGTCGTCGCGCAGACGACTGCTCCAACTAAGACTAAATTTTCGTTCTTTTATCTATGTTAGCAAATGACCACCTTGCTGTATTTCTACGCGTTTTCCGTGTCAACAGGCTCGGCTTCAAAATGGGCCTCGTGCTTCTTGATGATGTCTTGTAGATGCGGGTAAAGCTGAGAAACCGACCACGTCCCGTCGATGCCAAGGGACAGACCGCATCGCATCTTTGCCTTTCGCGCGTATGACATTCCGTTCTTATCCCTTTGAAGATTGACCGCCTTGACCGCATCTGAAGCGAGATGCAAGAAAACATCTTACCTAAGTTTTG